TTGTTAAATGGAGCACCCTGTATATTATTACATTTTTAGTTTCTACGATTAAAATAAAGGTAAATTTGATTAAGGTTTATTACACTTAAACCTTACTGTTTTTAAAATATTTTCAATTTTGTGAAATTGCAGTAAAATTTTTAAGGCTTCATTTCTCCAAGGGTATCAAAGTTTTTAATACTAAATATTTACTGAAGTTTATTTATTGATCAGTTATTGTGTTGCAATAATAAAAATTATACTACTTTATACAGAGTGTCTAAAAATTGATTTTAAATAATTACTAGCTTTAAATGACTTAACTACTTCAGTAAATATTTAGTATTAAAAACTTTGATACCCTTGGAGAAATGAAGTCTTAAAATTTTTACTGCAATTTCATAAAATTGAAAATATTTCAAAAACGGTAAGGTTTAAGTATAATAAACCTTAATCAAATTTATCTTTATTTTAATCGTAGAAACTAAAAATGTAATAATATACAGGGTGTTCCATTTAAAAAAATACAACTTTGATATATTTTACTTATTTGGGACACTCTGTATCTTGTCAAAATATTTTTCAATTGTAGCTTTATTAGTCCTTCAACGAACCCAAAACTTACAATTTGTAAAAATCGAATCGTTTAGCTACTCCGTGTCGTACCCTGTATATGGCAAGTGTAGTTTGAAGATGACTATTGATACTTTAATATGTACTTATCAAATAATATATATATATATATATATATATATATATATATATATATATATATATATATATATATATATATATATATACATATTATGAAATATAAAGCCGCTTTGGCATTACAATATGTATTAATCTATACATATCTATTAAATACAAGTTTATCAATAATTGATTTACACAAAGGTAACTTCTAATATTATGATATAATATTATATTATATCATATTATTATCATTGTCATGGTTTTTAATATAATGTTAAGATCGTAAGATATGTTTTTTTCTGTTTTATATTTTGTGATGTTTTGATTTTGGAACAATATGGTTGTCAATTTTTGTAGAGAATTCCATTTTTATGTAGCATATAAAAATTTTGAATACAAACATAACGTAAAAATTCTATGCATGCCAATAACCTTCAAATCATCTTGTTAATACATAAGTATTAAATTGATTCTGGTGTTACTTAGTGGAACTCCATAATCAAACGAAAAAAACTCTTTAAACATATATAGATTGAAAGTTCTTAAAAAGGACTCGAGTTAAGTGATCAAATGTTTTAAAACTCTTATTAATATAGCAAGAATACTTAAATGAAAACGGTAAAAAAAGGTAATTCGATTTCAAAAAAATAATATTGATATGCTCAACTATCTTAGTGCATTACCTCAGTTACAAATATAAATAAATTATAATGCTGAAATAGTTTATTCTTTTTTGGTATTGTTTGTAAAAAAGGTGCTGTGTGTACAAAAATGTTTGCTGATATTCATCCTGAAGCAGCAAATTTAGCTCCGAAATGTATGTAATTTGGGTATTACCTATATCTAACTTGAGTTTTAGTGATGTATCATGTCTTGAAGTATACGTTGATCTAACTGCCACTGTAATAATTCATCATTATTATTTCAAAGCTGTATATACCATACAAAAAAAACTGCCATCAAACTGTCTTGGAGATGACGATCTCGGCAATTTTATACTGAATACTCGTTTCAGTACTTTCAGTGAACCTTTCACTAGTTATCAATTGAAGACTTGAAGTAAATAATGTTCTAAGTGCCAAAATCATTATTTTGAAATAAACATTTTCTGTTACATAACTAATGTATAAGAACGGGCGATGTCTCTCTTGAGAATTGTTTTCAATACAATTAACAGCCGTATCACTTAGCGCTTTATATTATGTTGTTGGTTATGGAACTTAGGACATTTTACAAATTAAACATGACGAACCGATTTGATGGCACGTAGAATATTATTTACTTCAAGTCTTCAATTTTCCGTAACTGCAGTGAAAACTAATATAATTCTACACCATGTACAGGGTGGATCAAATTGGACGCTTTTAAAGGGAAACACTTTTTTCTATAAGAGATAGACGAAAACTAATATATCTAAGGTGTCTGGAGCTCAATTTTTATCAAAAACATGATGGTGAAAACCGCACATCGATATCTGTTACCGTTTAGCGGGGTGTTTTTCAAAAATGTGCTAATTTAACAAATCGCTGTAACTTTTTTGCTCTGGAAAATGTTGTATTTTTGTGAAAACATTTCCATAGTACCTTTTTACGTAGAATTTAGTGGTTTAAGTATATATATATATATATATATATATATATATATATATATATATATATATATATATATATTTTTTTTATTTTTTTTTCCTCACACTGTTAGTGGTAGTTCTAGTCCATGTCCGGGCTGTAACCAGCCAAGGGCACGACAAATGTTGTCAATAAGGTGAGACAATTCTTCGAATAATTCCGACGGTACCAAGCACAACTGCTTTTTGTATCCACATTATGGTGTTGTTCGGGAGGTTTAGTTCTTTGATATGTTGGTTTGTCATTTTGTGTACAAGTCCATTGGCACTTATTATTAACGGTACTATAATCACCTTCCGCAGTTCCCAGATTGCTTTTATTTCCTGAGAAAGTGCAGCGTACTTGTTTATCTTATCTGCATAGGCTTTAGCCACGTTATAATCCTGCGGTACTGAGAAGTCGATTATATATATATATATATATATATATATATATATATATATATATATATATATATATATATATATATATACTTATATACTTATATATATTTAAATTAATAATTTAAGAGTTATAAACAGAAAATTTGATTTTTTTGTGTGGGACATCCTGTATATTTTTAATTCATTGAAAAGAAATTAAAATTACCTTTCCAAAAATATAGCATACTTGATATTTTGCTCGATTCTTCTTTGAGATATAGAGTTTTCAAAAATTCGCCCACTTTAAATAAGTTGGCTTTGAACGGCGCCGGCTGTAATTAAAAAAAATCTAGCTGTGAGCAACAATTAAAACGAAAATAATACTTGCAATGAGAGATGCAGAATTTTATAACAGTTTAAACTATATTTAGCAACATCAATACATTCAAACTATATCTAATAATAATAAGAATTAATAGCAAACCAAAACACGAGGTGTTCGACATGTCGATCGTCTTATCTAATGGACAGACGGGGCCGTTTTTGGACATTCATTTGATTTTTTATTTTATTCATTAACTCAGTAGGGGTGAAAGATACCCTCGCATAACCGATAACTGCTTCTAATTTTTATCTAGATTATACGGACAATTTAAAAATAATAACCTTTATTCTTCCGCAAAGATAAAAATCCACTAAGGATAAAGTCCGGCGGCCTCGACGGTCAACGGCTGTGATCTTGGTTAGCTATTCAATTATTCTCGAAATTGGTTGAAAACGTTTACTCATAACTTCACCGTTCTAAGGCGGTGCCTCATCTTGCTGGAAAAATATGTTTTCGAGTTCCATTAGCGGCAGATCATAACAATAAGGGCCTAATAAAATAATAATATAAAAGCCTATACTAGTTAGATAATCAATAAAAGCCTATACTAGTTAAAAGTTAAAACTTATAAAATTTTGTATTTCGAAGGGGACTCTAACATAATATCAAGTGTGCTATATTCTTGGAAAGGTAATTTTAAGTTATTTTTACTTAATATACAGGGTGTCTCAAATAAAAAATCAATTTTTCTGTTGATAACTCTTAAATTATTAATTTAACAAAATTATACTTAAACCATTAAATTCTACGTAAAGAAGAGCTTTGGAAATGTTTTCACAAAAATACAAAATTTTCCATGCAGTGATTTTACATTACAGTGATTTGCTAAAAATGCACATTTTTGAAAAACACCCCGTAACTCATAAACGGTAACAGATATCGTGTGCGGTTTTCACCATCATGGTTTGGGATAGCCTATTTAAACAAACTACAGCTCGTTTAAAAGAGCTTTCTTTTTCGAATATTAAGGTAAGATTTATTTTTCATATCAACATGGTTCCAATTTTGCTTTGTTTCGTGGCTACATGAGGTTAAAGTCTTAATTTTTTTTTTGAATTATTATAATTTTCTTCCAAGTGCTTTTAGCGATTGAAATGAAATTTGGAGGGTAATAGTTACTATGAGTTCTATATACTTTAATGCTTAAAATGTGTCGACAGATTCACAAGGGATATGCATCTGAGTTATCACTGAAACATTTAAAGAAAAACATGTGCCCCACTCACTTTCTTTTCTCGCAAAATTGCGTAGGTCATTTAACGCCGATTAAAAGTTGTATCTTGATTAATCATAATTAATAAATTAGTTATTTAATGTACTTTATTACTAAATTTCATTAAAATTTATAACACTGATGTATGTTGCTACCTACAGCAAATACCCCAAAAAAATAATGGTGTTTAGGATAATTATTACAAAAAGCCTATTTTTTAAGAGTTTTAACATTCTGTCACTTTAAAACTATGCATTTCCGCATACATGTTTATAGGAACTTTTTCTCATATTTTTTTATGAGGAATTAATGAGTAATTATCTATGTGGACTCTCTATGTGGTTTCCAAGATACCCATAGAGAACATCGTAGGAAACTCACCCTATATATAGATAGATCCCTAGAGGTGGCTCTTGGCCTGATCCACTGCGAGCTTCTCAGATCTATTGTGGTCCTCTTCTGATCCTTAGGTTAGATTCTACAGTCCTATCCTTTTTACAAATTCTAATAACTTGGAGTCTGAATCTGCCATGTAGCTAAATATAACTTTCACCCTCAACATTTCATTTGAATCGCTAAAAGCATTTGGAAGAAAATTATAAAAAAACGAAAAAAGATGAAGACTTTAACCCCCTGTAGCTACGAAACAAAGTAGATTCAGACCCATGTCAATATGAAATATAAATCTTATTGTTAAGAGACGTTTCTCCCCACGAGAGATGGTACATGCTTTTTGAAACACCCTGTATGAGATATTATATCTACTCTTCTGAAAGTTGAATTCGAGCACACATTTACAACATCCTTAACTTGTTTGTTGTGTATATTTCCGTTGTTTGTATTTGCCACAAGTCATTTACAAATATTCTACGAAATATCCCATCAAGTTCTCGGGTAGACTCGATCTACCAGTAGTTACTGGAATGGTGAGCGAATTCTTTTTCTCCCTGATCGTGGGACTGTGGCTGGATCATCTAACTCTTCCCGAAGGCGATCGCAGGTGAGAACGGATGTATCCGGTGCGGTAATCGATGACGTCACGTCCGGGAATCTGCAGCCCGTAGCGAAGGCCTCGTCTATTCCACCTAGAATTTGATAGGTTATAGTTTGAATGGGTAATTTATATATGGTGTAAGACTCTATGGTGTAATGTTTTGTATTGAAGTAATTTAGATATTTAATTCCGGTTTTACCGCAAGAAGAGGCTAATAAATATTTTTCACCTCCAGCAAGTTTTGTGCGAAAATTATATTTAGTACTATTTGCAATACAAATGTCAATTTCAACATAAATTTTAAATTATTTAAATCTTAAGTTTTTGACTTAAATAATTTTCTTTAAAATCAAGTCATTTCCGTACAGACAGAATTCAATATACTGTAATTTAAGTCGTTTTTATGATTTAAGTCTATATTTTTGATTAAAATCTTGATAATCTGGAAGTTAAGTCGGCAAAATTTAAGAGTCTATTACGTTGTACTGTTCGGGTCGCTCTTAGGGGTCGGCCAAAGCGGGTGTGCGGCCGAAGGAAATATACAGTGTGGTCCGAACTATATTCCGGAAACTTCGGCAACATATTCTGCACATGAAAATAAGTAAAAAAGTTCGTATAAATGTATGTCCTAAAATACTTAGTTTCGGAGATACAGGGTGTAGAAGTTTTATTTTTAATTCGATTTTTACCGAATTATATCTGAAGTAACGTCAATATTTGGATGAAAATTGGCGTCTGGGAGTTTTTTGATATGAGAAATTTAATTTTGATGTCAATATGACTTCTACTTGTAGAGGGCGCTACCTACATGTATTTTAATTGTTTTAAAGAATAATAACTTTTCATCCGTACCTGTATAAAACTGCTGTGTGAAAAAATATACATTTCCGTAACTTTTTACGTAAAAAATGTCTCTTGGTAAAAATAGATGCGAACAAGCGTTCTCAAGATATTTAGAATAGAAATAGTCAATACATGTCATTATTGACAAAAAATAAACACGTTGAGTATTATAGATAGTTATTTGAAACTGCTATTATAGATAGCTATATGGAACTCGAAGAGCCCCATCTATTCATTTTGACGACGGTTCGCACACTACCAAACCCCATAATTAATGAATGAAATAAAAAAAAATTGTCCGATTTAAATGAAATTTGGTATGTCGATAGATTGGATCAAGACCAACTTAACCCTGTAGGACACGTGTCACTGTGACAGTTAGTTTTGATGTAAGAAACTTCAAAAGTTGATGATGTCATTCGATCGCGACGAAATTTAGTGGGTAGGCTATGTGAGCGACGCGCGACGGTGCACACAATCCCACCCTGCAAAGTTGGATACGACGTTTCGTTTACATCTTCATCAGAGTGGGACTGACGATTTGATATTGAAGAAAAATGTAAGTCGTTTTTGGCATCATTGGGGACGGGCTACAAGATGACGTTTCTCTCGACGTTTCGAACCGATGCCTCTAAATGGACGAAATCATCAGGATTTTTCTTAATTATGAGTTGATTGGAACCAAACTCGGCACGTGGATAGAGGAATCCGAATGGAGTCCTCAGACGGACAGATGGACAGACAGACATATAAGAAGAAGTTTCACTTCAAATATGCGCACATAGTGTACACACAATTTTTTTTCCGGAAAGTACTTAAACATTTTCTTTTTAGATATACACATAGCGCAAAAAAATCCTTTATATTCATTTATATTATTAATTTATTCTTATTCTATCACGTATCAAATACAAGTTAATTAAGTATATGTAATTTGTTATATTTCTAAATATAGCAAAATTATATTTGCCAATCAAAAATGCAAAGAGACTAGATATAATCAAATAAAAGTACATAATAGTTTGAAATGTATAAACGACTGGCAGAGTCTGTATTAGAATTTCTATTTCCGTAGGTTAAAGCTTGGTATTATACGCTGGTGCTTCATTTCTATATTCGTAGTTGCCTGTGGAAATGGAACTCTAGGGATCCGTCGGGTTTTATCTTTTGTTGCGGTAGAAGGGTACTTAATTATTAAGGAAAGTCAGAAATAAACCGCTAGAGAAAAATGTTCAAATATTTGTTAATCCATTATATTAATGAATCATCTATTTTTTGTTTCTCACTGCACAATTTGTTTTATTGCATTTTTTAATATTTCAATAGTAGACACGTATTTTTTTAGTTTTTAAGAAATCTCTTTCGATGTGTAAAATTGTTATATATAATTTAAAAATTATTATTGTTCCATGCTTAGAAAATATTGTTTATAATATACATAAAACATATAAGCATTCTGAATTTTAAAGCATGCATTTTGTCTGCTAATTGAAATGGGTTTAATTTGATATGTATTATTTTATTTTTTGTAACAACAAATATGTATATAGATCAGTTTAACTGCGGTAGAGATTTATGTAGAAAGTTACACTGAGCTATCTATATGCCGTATATTTTATTTATTAAATTAGGTAGTTTTTTCTTAAAAAAAAGAAACATTTCTTTTTAATTTCACGTTTCTACAGAAAATGATACTAAATAAGTATAGAAATATGTTTTCTTTAGTACAGACATTTTTCTAGTTACCATACTTTGTTTTAAAACAAAAAAAGAAGAACATAAAATGCATGCATAAAACTAAATAATAATAAATGGGGGATTATAAGTTTTCAAGTAAACTGCTCCAACCGGTTTGCGCAAGCCATTTTGTACAAAATTTTAGATACATATCCAGGGGCGGATACAGGAATTTACTTTAACGGGGGGGCAAATAAAAAGTAATGTAGAATATGCTTTTCAGCCAAAAGCCTAATATATAACCCAATTTATAGATTGTAGGGGGGCCCATGGCCTCATGGCCCCCCCCCTTTGTACCCGCCACTGTACATATCTGTATTAAATCTAATATCATTGATTGAAAGGATTTGCGAATCCTAATGTCATAATAGGTAATGTCATTTAGGTTGCGACCTAATGTCATAATAATGTAAATTCATTTCCCTTATGTCTCAAGTAATATACTAATAATATCCTCTATCCTCGTTCTGCGGCAAAAAAGCACTCATTTTCTCTAATTCGGCTAGCGAATGCATATCGAAGATGGTATGGAACTGAAAGCGACAGTGTTGCCATATTAAAATGCAGATTAAACATTCATAATCATCAGAATAAACAACAAAAAAAAAAACCTTTTATAGGTACTAAATATTTCGTATGATCGAAGACATTCGTTTAGTTGGTTTGGAAATGACGACTATTGACATTTACTCATAAACTTCATAATTGTTAAGTCTTAACCAAAATGTAAAATACAGGGTGATCGGAATTATATTCGGGAAACTTCGGCAGCATATTCTGCAGCTAAAAACAAATAAAAAAGTTCCTTATAAATGTATGTCCTAAAATAGCGCCTGGCTTGGTCTAACAAGCATCCCACTCATTGTCTTGTCCCTTGCTGTAGTGTCGTGGCCAGGGAATTTCACCAAGACATATAACGATGCCGGACGAGGCTGCCCCTGTCCGTCATACCAGGCACCCTCTACTGACTGTGGTCATGTCTTGCGGTGTGGGGGTCTTGGCTTAACCAGCTGGACCAAGAGGAGACAACCTCACCAAGAACCTAAACCCTACGATGGCGGGACCAGGTCAAAGGGATGCGTGACTAGATTATTACTGGACTAGTCATTACTGGCCTCAACCTTGGGGCATCAGGGGGCACCCATTGTATTTACCCCTTACTTCTGCATGCGGGGCTCCGTAGAAGTGGACCGACTATCCCTAGCGACTCGTGGGAACACTATGAGATCTAGTATTAAAAACACCACCGGTGAAGCTGTCGGGAAGCCCCCTAGCGGCACTGGGAACATTACAAATGAAAGTTCCAAGGGACCAAATCCAAAGGAAACTACAGGAGGGGCGGCTGATGCTTGCTTGCTTGCTTATTGAATATTTCCATTCTAAACACCTTGGGAACGGTTAGTCGTAGCGATATTTACCAAGAGACATTTTTTACGTAAAAAATAAATGTGTATTTTTTCATCCAGTAGTTTTATACAGGTACGGACGAAATGTTATTACTCTTCAGAACAGTTTAAACACATGTTAGTGGCGCCCCTGCAAGTAGGAGTCATATTGACATCTAAATCAAAAATTTCTCGTACCAAAAAAGACCCAGACACCAATTTTTATCCAAATATAGATTCTAGGTAGTTTAGAAATTATCTGGAAAGAACTGAAATAAAAATGAAACTTTTACTACCTGTATCTCTGAAACGAAGCCTTTTAGGACATACCTTACATGCGAACATTTTTACTTATTTTTATTTGCATAATATGCTACCAAAGTTTTCCGAATACAATTCGGACCATCCTGTATACCTAACTAATAAATTGCGTCCACATGGTCAGAAATCTGCACTAACAGCAGTTAAAAATCAAGGCGAGACCGATTTTACTGAAGAACTTTTGAACTGCGCAAATTAACGATTTTTGATTACATTTTGCGATTTGTTGGCCCAATCTGGCTTGCACAAGTTACTTTGTGCAAATTAATTGAGAGTCTAAAAGGGAGCCCTACACGTAACGATATGATCTGCATGCCAAACCGTACGCTTTAGATCTCAGTTCAGACCAAGTCGATAGTGTCCTTTTCGCACTTCACGTACAAATTTTATAAAAGATAATTTTGTCAGTCTATGGTCTAGTAGAATGTGTGGTCTGTGCATTTACAAATATCAGCATGTTGAAAGATCGCAGATCTCATGTCTTCGATGAGTTCTTTATCGAGGCCGCCATTATACGTTGAGTTTTGTACTGAATCGAAGGACTGAACAGTTTAAATTTCTTCAAAATCGTTACTTGTAGGGCACCCATTAAACCTTTCTTAATATACATATACTCGATTATATGGAAGATCAATAAGAGTTTCTTTTTTTTATTTATAAATTTAAATAATAATATTAGAGGCTCAGTTTTATTAGTTAAATATTAGTCTAAGAGCTAGCAATGTTTTAGAGGGAGGATTTTAAGAAAGCTGGCTCTTTAATATATCTTTTGTTATGCTCTCTGGAATAGCTTGCGGGTCATCTG